TTGGTTCCCTGAGAGTTTGAGACCACCTTAAAGCTAAAAGCAGTTCCAACTCACCTTCCTAAAAAACTTTTGAAATAAAACTGAAGACTCCACTGTGTTGACCTGCAAGGTATAGAATAATATAAGATGAAGGACATGTCTAGTATTACTTCATGACCAGTGCTTATTTGATGTAGATCCATATTTTTGTTCACGGCTACATTTCATCAGTTTACTGTATAATTGCTTTTAATTACCTTCTCAAAACCAAGCTTGGCTGCCATGATAGGAAGCAAGGACCCATCACTGATGCACAGACATCTAGAAAAACCCTCAGCAACCAACTAGCAAAAAAATTGAAGACCTTGTTGGTAACTGACTTTATCAGATTTCTCCTCCAATTTCTATTTACTTAAATAAATCTTCAATCTGCAATATATTTATGGAAGGGGAAAAAGTGAAGAACAGCAACCAACAATGGTTAGTTTAATCAAAAAAGAAACAGCCATCAGGTCATCCGATCAACAGACATCTTGAAGTCATCCTCTAGAGGAGGGTCTTTTAAGGTGTTGTTCTTCTCTTTTACCAATGACAGGGGAAATTCAGTTGGTTTACAGGAACTCCTCTTAAATAACTACAAAAAATGGCATAATCCAAAATTTGAACTGGCAAGAGGCAAACGATTTGGATTAATTTACAAGTGAAGTGGAGCAGTTGAACTTGAGAATGCTAACAAACAAATCCAACTTAATACCACAGCAGGATTAGAAAGTTAGACCTTTAGAATGAGAGTTTACCACACCAAGCACTTGTCTTTAATTTTTCCACACACAAAGTATATCATTCAGTGGAGCTGGACTAAGAGACCAGCACAAGTAAAAGGTACAAAATCCAATCCCTCAGGGAGAGGGAGGGGTGGAGGTGGTGGTTGTGGCTCAAGACTACTTCAGCCCCGCTACTTGTCTAAACAAGGCTATGGTCAAGCAACACCTGGTAGCCCCTGGCACCTTACTTTTACTCTTGGGAAACTCAGAAATTTTAGTTTTATCATAAGAAGCATATGCTGAGCACCCTGGATTTCACAGTTTCAGAGCACGGGGCTCCCTACAGTTTTTCTTAGAGCACAGCCTTGCTAAGAGGAAATCTTAATTTATTACCTGTTTCAATGCTTTTGTAAAAGCTTGTGATCTTTGCCTGTCATTCAACATGGCAAATCTGTGACGACTCCAGGTGACATGGGCTCCACATGTACAGAGTGGACGATCAACTGTTGTTAAAATTCTGAATAGGTAAAATTATAATTTAATAAAAAAAAACAAAGTAAAAACAAAGTAAAACTCTGATGTTTGCTTAATAAAGCTGTTGTAATGACAGAATGGACTTCAATAGAGCTTTCAGTTCCACCAACCCAGTCATCTAAAATTTTCTTGAGGATTTCCTCAGGCATTCATATTTTATTTTCTAGAATGTAAAAAAAAAAAAGAAAAAACTATTTCTACTGACAATAAAAGATTGTGACTGTGGCTTTTAATATACTTTCAGAATTTGATAATTCAGTAATGAATATAAATGTGAATGACTAGTTTCAATTATTACCAAGGTCTTCAAAAGCACAACTTTAGGAAACACAAATAAAACAAGTTTATGTTCCAGACTGAGTTGATCTGTTTGCCGATGGTACCAAAAAAACTGTTACAGTAACTGCAACCTTTTGAGCAATTGTCTATTAAAGAGAGGCTTGAGAGAACATATTAAATATAATTTGTCAACACTGACATATAGACCCTTAAATAAATTTAGCTCTCTATATCATGAGAAGGTTCAAAGTATTCAAATCTGCTACTATGTCTCTTGCCAACATACCTTTTTACTGGTGTGACATCAAACCAAACGCTGTAGTCATCATGGTAACAGTGAACATTTATTTTGTCACCTGTAAGTTAGAGAGAAATTTCTGTTAATCAAAAAAAAAATTTCATTTTTTTCAATCGACTTGGAGTACAACAATTACTTTACAGAGGACTATTGCCATTTATGTCATAAACTCTTCTTGAAGTTGATGCAAGTGCTAAAAATTGTCAGATTTTCTAATTTTTGTTAGTTTAGGATCTATTTTATTTATCAGTGCCACTAACACACACACACACACATACACACACACAAATAAATTACAGTCATTTATAGCAATCTGAAATAATAGCTATTATAATAATAATATCACTTCACAACAATCTATACAAAACTAAATAAAACTATAAATTAGGGTCATTTATAAGTAGCAGTAGTGAGGAATTCCAGCAGAAGCTAGAAGCTTATCAAACCTGAGTTCCTCACTTGATGTAGAAGATAGATTTGCTAACTACAGATGAGTGAGTTTAATTTTAATTAGCTTTCTGTCAATGAGGAATATTTTACGTGAAGTCTTATCCTTCAATCAACTAAACTCAAATAAATTTACATGTAGGATCTGGCACCTTCTTGCATGACTAGTGGTGTTTTTAAGAAATAGACTGCTTGCATCCAGTGATCTCTCCACTGTTGAACAAAACAAGAAATGAAATCCATTATTTAGTTCACTTGAAAAAATAGTAACTGTTACAAATGTTATAGGTCAAAGAACCATTCCCTTCCCCCAAATCCAGAAATCAAGTAAAAGGTAAAGCCTACTTATGAGCCAAGTGGCCCATCATGCATGCCTGTGCTTAACTCCCGTTTCCTTAGCATGAAGCGATCGAGAGTATTTCTACACCCCCCTGGATAGAATGCTATTCCCTAGTGGGGTTACCCTGAGTAATAAATTTGCCGGTGCCCATTTAATTCTCCTGGATGAAGAGAGGCACTGAGAGAGTAAAGTGTCTTGCCCAGAAACACAACACAACATCCCCAGCCAGGGCTCAAACCTAGACCCCTTGATCTGGAGTCAAGTGCACTACCCACAAAGCCACCACACCTCCACAAATCCAGGAATTAAATATCTACTTAGTACTAAATTGCCAGGGATACCAAATTTTCAAGAACATCCAACCAAGTAAGACGTGGAATTAATTTAAAATGTGAAAACTGGGTGTTGGAAACAACACTTTAAAATACACCTGTCTTTTGTCACCATCAGGATGTACCCAGCAGGGAGCTGTTGTCAAGATAATTTTACCATCCATGTCCATATCTAATGACCACCACATAACCACTCCATGTACAGGGCCTGTCTGGGTCACTGAAGTCTCTACACAATGATGAGACACTGTTTTATCATCGTCAGCTCTGTCTTTGGTCTCTGGTATTGACACTCTGTTGGTGCAGTGGGGATTCTTCGACTGACTTCCACTACAGAATTCAAACCTGACAAGAGAGGGTTATCATTAATGACTCTGTGAGGTAAATGAAAATAATGTCAAAGTATATAATTATATTTCAAAGAAAATGAGGAAGCAGAAAAGAAAGCAAACAAAACCGTAACTGAGAGAGGAAAAAATAGTTTAAAATTAAAGCTAATATCATTAAAAAAAAATGATAAAAATGGAGCAATCTTGGCAGTAATGAGCACCAGTAAGCAGTAGTGGAAATAAGGCCTGGAAAAATTCCAGCTCCCAGTTGGCTTGTTGTCTCAGTTGGTGGGGCACTGTATTAGTATTGCAGAGGTCATGGGTTCCAATCCCCTAAGGGCCTGAATATTTTTCAGGCCTTATTTTCACTAGTACTATTACCTATTAAATAGTGTTCACTATTGCACAGGTGGCTGTCATATTCTTTTTTTAATCCAAAGTTCACATACATGATCTTCCTATATATTCACAGTCAATAACCTAGTAAGTGACAGCCAGAGAGGGAAGGTGTAGTATTATACACAGCACAGACACAAAGAAGACTGAGATAGGGTGGCATCAGTGGTAACCTAATCTTTCAGGTAGACATCCCACTTACAATGCCACTTGTTGCCCCGAATTTAATTAACTAGCTAGAGGAGAAGCCATGATTTAGGTACCGTCATACTGACAAGTGGAAAAGACAACAAGTGACAAATTGATTTTCCTCAGTTGCTTTCTCTTAATTCACAAGTCAAAATATGATGTGTTATCAGATATCACCATAGATGATCAGATTCCCTTCTAGAGAACATTAATTTTGGTAGAAGCACCCAACTTAGGTCAGTCATCTGGGAGGCATTGGTTCAAGCCCATTAAAGCACAAATAAAAAAAAATAATTGCAGCTTTTTTTTTCTGCAACAGCTTTAACGGCAAGGAACTAGCCATTCACGCATGTATGTCTAAATCCTGATATTTAATTATTTCAGATCTAAAAATAAACATAGTGATTTATTATGATAATTTTGGATGCAGATTTTACCTAACAACTGGAACAGGTGATGTAAAAATATGAATTTCATCATTAGACAGTTCATCAACATGTATATCAAAACCACTTGCAGTCCCACGACAATCTTCCATATCAACAGGTAAGGTAATATCTTGGTTGTCCAACATCTGAGCAAAAAGAAATTGCAACAGAGTTTTATCAAATTTAGCTCTAGAGCTACCTTAGTTTAAATGTCTTTAGATGAAATGCAAAGCCTCAGCTTGTGCCATCACTTAACTAAAGGTCGGCTTTGAGATAACCATTAGTACAAATCAAAGGAGAGACATAACATTGAAAACACTTCATATGCAAGACATACAATATATATATTTTAATTTTTTTATCTGAAGTATAGCAAACTGTTCACTCCCAGTAACAAAGTAAGGTACCATAGAAACTAAGAACCAAAGAAGGAGGAAAGGAAGTACAATTCAAATTTCACAAACTCGATCATTCTTATTTGCTTTTTTGGCTTGGTTTGACTTTTGTCCCACTCATAATAGAAAGATACTCCACGATAGTGATCTTCTATTTCAAACTCTAGTTTAAAATTGCCAAGGCATTCTAATTACCTGCTGTGGATTGAGCTGGTGCATACTCCAGAGTGCATTACTTCCTACGACTTGAGCATAAATTGTGCCTGCAGCTGGGACACTAATGAATTCTGGCTATAGAGATACAAAGTCAAATAAGTTTTAAATCAAAGTTTCTAATGAACCTTGAACAAGAGCAAACCCTGCAATTAACTTGATTCTGACAATTTCCAGACCTTGAACGGTCATGTTTTTTTTTTAACAAGCATATATTTACCAGAAACACAATTCATCTCTTTTGTTTTCAACTGATTATTGAAAAATTTAAAACCTCAAGTAAACCTCAAGTAAACGTCTGCAGGCATCCCTTAAAGTTGGTAGTGCTCCTTCTCCAATAAGTTCTGTGTCCCACAATTCTGTTACTAGTAGATTAGCTCTGCTTTGGAGATTTCCATCTGTCAAAAAAAATAAAACAAGAATTTCCTGTCAATTGGGACGTAATTCAAATTGCATTGTCTAGATCACCATTCTGTCACTACCTCGTGAAATTAATTACCTATTATATTTATTGAAAACAATAAATATGTATATCAAAGAATGCAAAATTATATTAATTAGCTTCCATGCACATTATGCAAAAAATCCTAATACTTGCCACAACACTTAAGGCAGTTCCAAGAATAGCCAATAACTCACCCAAACAAGATCCCCGCATTCTTTTAAATGGTTTTAAGTTAAAAATGATCATCAATTTTTATTAGAATCATTATTACAATTTTTTAATATTATCATGATTTTCCACTACAATGAATAACTGCAATTAACTCTCAAGATAATGATTTTGTTACCTTCTTCTAATGATAATTCAGTTGAGCGTTTCCCAATAACTGAGATTTTGTCACCAAATCCATTCTTTTTTGTTATTTCACCAGCTACTTTGGCAATAGGTTCAAATGCCTGGTGAATGCAAAGCAAGCATTTCAGAAACCAGAATAACACACTTTGTTTGAGTCATGCTAAAAATCAATTGGTTACCTCGCAAGCGGTTGCCCCATCTGCTCCACTCCTCACAGCCATCATGGCCAGAAGTCCAGTCCCTGTTCCAATGTCTAACATGTGAATTTTTTTCCCTGCAGCTTTGAGATTTTTGACAGCTTGTTTGGTTGCCTGATAGTACATTTTGTTCTACAAGAAAAACATGCAAAAAAATTAAAGAAATAATGAATCTTCTTTGTTCTTTTCTAGATGATCACTGACTGATTTCATTGGCTGGACATTTTCTGAGAAACTCCTTCATAACTGTTTCTGCTTTGCTCTACAACTTATAGGATTCGATGAAATCCTACCCTCTCGTCTTCGTGAAGCATGTCTGCATAAGACGATCTGTGGAGGAAAAATGGGAAGAGAATAATTTCCCTGAGTTTGTCTCAAGTTTTTATTTTACCACGTGAATTTGCAAACACGATCGAAAGTAATTTATCCTTTTACCTCGCGATTTCATTTCTCATGTCGTAATCTTTATCCTCTTTCACCCATTCCATTTTTCCTGTCGTTGGACTGAACCTCTGTAGAAACATTTCGCTCCTCAAGCGACCAGAGAAGCCGTACAATCTCTTAACTATTAAGGAATATGAAGTACACAACTCTCTCAAATGATTAGAAGAGAACATCCCCAACAACATGTGGGGGATATTCTAATATAGTATTTGATTGGATACTGTTCTCCTGACCAATGAAATAACGCGTTGTATGTGGCTGAAGCGACGTGCGCCTGGTTTATTCGGCAGTTATCGTGGCATCCAAGACATCCTATGATGGAGTAGACTTTTTAAGGATGGACGAAGCTCTAGATGACAAAATGAAAAGTCCATCGAATCAGTCCCTTTTACTGGACTTGTGCTACAATAGAGTTAAAAGATATGCGGAAAGAAGACACAAAACTGCCCACAAAAATGAAACAAATCCGGATTTCTTGACTGCAGGTGTTCTTATTCCTATTTTTGTCAGAGAGGGATCTCTTTATACCCTTCTCACACTAAGATCTGAACATTTACCCACTCACAAAGGAGAAGTAGCATTTCCCGGAGGAAAAAAGGAAGATGTCGATGTAGACATTGTAGCTACAGCTTTAAGAGAAGCTCAAGAAGAAGTTGGTTTATCTCCGGAGATTGTGCAAGTCGTTGCAGTGTTGAGTCCACTGACATCGCGAGCAAGAGCAAGGCCGATGTACGTGTATCCAGTAATTGGCATAGTTAAGTCACAGTTTAACTTAGAAATAAACAGCTCGGAGGTTCAGACTACGTTTGAGGTCCCTTTGGAGTTTTTCCTTCTGAAAGAAACGCAAAAACGTGATCAATTTAATTTCAAAGGTAGCACATTTGAAGTTCATTTCTTCTTGTATGACTCAGGTGCATGTGAATGCGACAGCCAAAATACAAATTCGACCTTCCATATTTGGGGATTAACTGCTTCAATTTGCTTATGTGTGGCTATGGTAGCATTGAGCAAACTACCTGAGTTTGACCTGGAAGAACACTATAAAGAACTTATGCAGTACATAACAGAGACAAATGAAAATGATGATGATGATGAATTAAAACCACAAAGTAGAATGTGAGAAAATTAAGGCCACTGCTGAAATTTGATGTTAGATAATTTTGCTACCCATCCTGTGATCCTTTTGGGGAAACCCCACAGACAGAAATGGTAGCCTGTGCTTTAGACATACCTTCAGATTTAGGATTAGATAGGGGGCACTTCATTAAAGTGGGGTGGGGGGCTGCATGTTTAACTAAATCTGCTGTCAGTGGTCAGATATGATTGCATGTCATTCAAGATTCAGGTAATAAAGTTTTTGTTTTGAACTATTAGTATTGGATAAATTCAATTTAGGATTGGTTTTTAAATTGAAAAAAATAATTTATATACTTTTCCTGTCATAAAACATTTAAACTGAACATTTTGGTTCTTTCAAATTTTACACATTGTATATTTTGGAAAAAGTGATACGTTTACCCAGTTATCAAAAATAGTATTGAAACAGTGAATTATGAAGAGTTTTTTTTAATTCTAAATTCACAAGAAAATTAAATATTTGAATTTAATTTTAAAATTAGAAAGGAAAAAGAAAGCCAGTCAGATCTTATTGACTAAATTTCCCTTTTTTCTTTAGAAAGGCACCTTTTCCCTGGTATCCTATTTATTGGTATCCTGATCAATTTGAAGGCAAAAAAAATTTTCCTTTGTCCCCTTACCCTCCCTCCCAGAAAGTGAAGCTTTCTTTTCAAGTCTTTTCATTGCTACTATTACTAGGATTAAAATTCTGCTCTTACATAGATAAATATCTCTGAATTTTCCAGGCGCGTTGTGTGACCAAAATTCCTAAAACTTTAGTATTGATTATTTGGTGAAAGTAATTTTTTTTTGCGACTTACCCGCTCCTCCTGCCCTACAGAAAAGCCCTATTTTGGGTCCCCTTAGGAATGGTGACGTCACCATTTGCTGCACGCACCACTCGGACAAATGCTGAAGTCGCGACATTTTCGATCGTGGGAATTATAAAGGCTTCCTTTCTTTAGATACGTTTGATTTTTTTCATCCTTAGAGTAACGTGATATCCAGAGGAAAGATGCCGTTGGTTTTTCTTGAACAACTGCCTCTTCCTTCTCTGCAATCATACGTGACTGTGAGCGTGTTGTTGTTCGTTTCGGCCGTTCTCTACGGATTGAATGTTACTGTTGGTTCTGATGAGAACGAAAAGCTGAATATCTACGATTTTATGTCTCAGGATAATTTTTGTTTTTGGGTAAGTGTTCCTTCTCTTTTCTAAGTGTTTTTTAACCGACAATTTAGCAGTGTTCTAATATTTGCCCATGCATTTTACTCCCGTAGTCGAACTTGAACATGGCCTACTGTTGTTTGTTTTTGTTCGGGAAAATTATCCAAAGGGTTGTATTTGGAGACCTTCGCGCCAGTGAACTTCAGGTAACTGATAAAACACCAGTATAGAATGATATGTTTGCTGAAAGTTATAACTATAGCTTGATTAAGGTTCAACCAACCTTATACACCCGCTTAAATTACCGCCTAGATAACAAGTAAGTCCTCGAGTGTATGGAAATCATGGTTGACTTTCAAATATTGATCTTTTGTTGTAATTACCTTGGCATCTTTCCTTCGTTCTAAATTATCACAGTTAAATAGTTTTTTATCGGAATCGATTCAATGAGAAGAAAAATTTTAACAGAACGGTAATGATCTAATTCGATTTCCTTTGTAACTCCAACGTTTAGTGCAAGTTATTAGCAAACTTCCGAGTGTTCTACATGTTGAAACTTACCAAAACCTGTACACATTAACCAAACTAACGTGATCACTTTTTCTTCTCACCTAACTCAATTCTCTCAACACGAAAAAACTTTGGTTTTATTCGTGAGCTAATTATTTACCATGCTTAACTTCAGTCTCGCTCAAAATATTTCTTCCATTTGAGGTTTGAGGTTTGCATGCCAGCCAGTCTAAAGTGATTCGTTCGCATGCGAACAAAATCTATACCAAACCATGTGGAGAGTTGAAATGGATTTTGTTCTTTATTTTACAGCAAATTCAAGACAGATTCTGGAACTTCATTTTCTACAAGTTTATTTTCATTTTCGGGGTTTTAAATGTGCAGAAATTCAACGAAGTGATGTGGTGGACAGCGTGGTTTACTTTACTGGGTTTCTTTCATTTGTTCACTCAGCTCTGTAAAGACAGATTTGAATATGTAAGTGATTATTCTTTTGCCTTGATTGTTGTTAGCTTGTCCGAGTTATTGTATGAGGGTAATTTTGTGCCCCATACCCTCAGATAAGACATCAACATTTTAGTGTAGTATTTGTTTATTTTTAGATGGTCGTTTCCCTAGAGTTAGAGTTAGTACATTGGACTTAGACAAAGGTCGAGGCGTGAACAGAGAGTGATATGACAAAGCCATGGTCTTATCAAAATAAACTAAGTCATCTTTCAATCTCTTCTGGGGCATGCAGACATCCCAAGAGAATTTGAAATAAAAATACATCTCTTGTAACATTTTTTTTTTTTTTTTCGTGGGAGAAGGGGAATGTTAGAAACAAAGGGAAAGAGTTTTTATTTCACTGCCACTTACATGAATTAATATGTTTTTATCAGTTAAAATGAACATTGGGGAAATATTTTTCCTGTTTCTAATAAATGATTGAATCTTTACCATGCACAGTGGTGCATGTGAATGTACATCATGGTGAACAAAAAATTGAGTTGGCTTGTGTCTCATTTTTTTTTTCAATGCTCTTTACGTCCACACACATTTCATTCTACATTTCCATGTGAAATGTGAATGGTGCAGTTGATACTTATTTTATACAGACTCTTTTCTTCCTGGTCAGGGGGGGTGTCTGCTTCCAGTTTAGAGCTTTTAAGCAAGTTTGTCACTAATGTTTATCCCTTCATTGTTTTCCTTTAGTTGTCTTTCTCACCAACAACGTCTCCCTGGTCTCATGCAAAAGTGATTGGTTTACTCATCATTTTGGTGTTATGTTGTAACGGATTGTTCTTCATCTGTCTTTTTATTGGTTGGCCAGATGGCATACACACTTTCACATTCATGCTGGCTGAGGTACATTCCTTCTTTGCAGTTACTCTGTGAAGATAATTGTTGTTGAAGAATAACTGGCTTTCATTAAGAAAATATTTATTCAAATAATATATCCACTTAAGGAGAAAAAATCTCTACATTTTGAGTTTTATACAGACAAATAACTATGATTAATTATTATATACTGGACAAGTTTCACAGTTAGTAATTTTATTTTCCAGTGTATGCTGCTACTGATCAAAATAGTTCATGGGCTGATAAGGTAACTTCTATTTTTATAGTTAAATGATACATTGGAAGTATAAAGTGCATGAGATAATGTTCCTGTCTATTTACATCCTTCTGCTAGTACAGGGCTTGAAATTAACGGTAACCCGTTAACCAATGGTTAGTAATTTTCAACGTTTGCTTACTAAAAATGTGTCCAACTAACCCGACATGGTTATTAAAATTTTCTAACATATTAAAACATTGGTAGACTTTGGGACTAGGAGCACATAGACCTGACTCTCAGAGGAATACTTAAAATACTCAAGTTGTCAAATCAACTTAAACTCTTTTTAGAGAATGTGCTGTAGAAGTACTGTTCTTGACTAATCATGGTAAACGAGAGGGAAATAAAATAAGTGCATAATTGTCAAAGTTTTTAAGGTCACCATGCAATTTCAGCTACTCTTTAATTTGTCCTAGTGGTTATTATCAAAATGTTGAGTATTTAAGATATCATAACTTGTGAGCTTGGATACCAAACTTTATAATGTGGTTAGTGAAAAAGATGTCTACTAACCTGAAGGGTTAGTGCTCCAAAAATTAAATTCGAGTCCTGAAAGCATTAAGCAGTGAGTGACATTGTTGTGGACCAAGGTGTTTGTAATGCACTTAATCTTAAACAGGTGCTAAGCACTTGGAAATTTTCAGTGATAAACATTATTAGGATAGCCACCCCTAGTCTGCATCTCTAATCTTGAATAAAGTAGCCAAATAGTGAAACATCCATCAAAATAAAGTAAAGCTTGGGAGTAATACTTTCCAAAATTTCCCTATGTTTTTTAACCAGTAGCATCTTCATCGTGGTTGTCTCCCAGTTTGTTATAATTATTTTCAGTCCAAAATTTGAAACTGATTGAATTTACAGTACCTAGACTTGTTATCAATAAATCTGTTAAACCCATAGGTATGGCATTCATCTGTGGGACATTGGTCACACCAGTATGTGGGAAGGAAGAAGCACATGGAGTTATAACACCGATATGATGATGGACTTGGCCATATACATTGTTGACTTTGCTCACCACCTTCACATGCTGGTGAGAAGGAATTAAAAGTTAATTTTGTTGGGTTTTCTGTTTGAAGTGCATGTGCAGTAAGGGTGTAATCCCCCTGCACAGTAAATGAACAAATGATATCAAATAAAATCTACGCAGTGACACTATAATTATTTTTGCTTAAATTAAAATTAATTTGAATATATCAACAAAGCTGAAATGGCAAATTGGCCACCGTTACAATTATAAAAGCTGACATTTCGAGCATTAGCCCTTCAACGGAAGTTAGCCCGTCGGTTAGCCCTTTGTCACTCCGACGAAGGGCTAATGCTCGAAAGGTCAGCTTTTATACTCGTAACGGTGGCCAGTTTACCATTTCAAGTTTGTTGATATATTCAAATTATTTCATTACCCCCACCGATGCAGCCCCAAACAGTTTCTTTAGAAACTATCAGCCTTTATAAATTAAAATTACACAGTCAAATAGCTGTTACTTGATAGAAGTAATTCTGGTTATTGAGAAAACATGAAATTTTAATTATCATTTGGAAAGGGGAAATCAAACAACAAGTGGAAGCTTTCTATTGTAATTTTTCAAATTTAATTGGAATTTGTGACTTACTTGCTGCAAAAACTTCGAGAAGGCAACTTTCTTGTTAATGAAAAAATTTCTTTTTGTTAGGACTATGCAGGCTTTTATTTTTGTCCAGACTGACCAAAATTATAAGCCTAAAGGGTTTAGCTCTGTTTTTGTGCTTGCAGAGCCCTCCAATAAACAAAATATCAGTGTTAAAATACAGTGAAAACATTCTCTGGCCAGAAGTTTTAGAAAACATAAGCTTTCGGCTGTCAATCCACAGCCTTCCACAGATAAAACACGAAATGTAAATTAGTAATTAAAAAATATATACAAAAAGCGAGATAAAGGTGATAAGAAGAACAAAATAAAAATATGGAAAGGGTGGCTATTGTTTAAAAAGAATGCTATACTGATTAGGGATCGGCTTAGAGTTATTGTCCACATTCTTGATAGCAGAGGTGTGCCAAGCCTCCAGAGTTTTTCTAATATGAAAAGAGCCTTTGTCGATAACTTAAGAATGATTGAAATCAATGTGATGAGACTTTTTGATTTTTTTGTAGTAATTAAAATTGTTTTCAATTGTTTCCTAGTTGTGGTCAAACATCTTCCTGAGCATGGCCAGTTTGGTGTTGTGTATGCAACTTCGTCATCTCTTCTATGGGATCAAGAAAAAGCTGGCAAAATATAGGAGTTATGTAAGGATTATCAAGTGTATGGAGTCAAGGTAACTCATCCAGTATGATTATAGATTTGAAACATCATTCTTTAGAAAATTGAGAACTTACTTGACAAACCTTTAAGAGTGTTTTAAATGTAAGCATGTAGGGTATGCTTTTATGTGTACAGTATTGAGATGCAGATGGAAGGCAATAATTTTGCTCTGAAGTTTACATTGTAGCACAGTGGCACAGTTTTTTCTTTTTTTTTTTACAGAATCATTTTGCTTCTCTGTAAGCGGTGCGCCCAAAATTTGTGTATTTTTGGCGAATGCAACTTGTTTAGCATCACATCTTACTGATGTTTGTATGCACACAATCTTAGATTTCCCTTGGCTACTGAAGAAGAGTTGATCAAGAATAATGATGACTGTGCCATCTGCTGGGATTCCATGGTTGCAGCAAGGAAACTACCATGTGGTCATCTTTTCCACAAGTATGAAATTGTTAAAAAAGATTAGCATTTAGATTACTGTGAACTCATTACTTCAGTTGGTAGTTGAATTTATCAATTTTCTCTTAACAGTGGTTGAACTGAGGTTACTGACAGTAGGCCCCTGATTTCATGCTTGAATAAAGGATTTTTGGACCCCCCTCCTCCCATTTGAACTTTTGGTGCCTTGTTCATAACCACTGAAAATTTTGGTACATTGTAAAATAAAATGTGATTTTCCTGTTATGAAAACTACTTTTTCAACACCATGGAACTAGCTTGGGTTTTGAATTTTAATTTAGTGACATTACCTAGAGTAATACTTTTCCTCAAAACTAGTCCAGGCCTTTTTTTTCAGCTTCACACTCTTTCTAACTCTTTTTGTCTTCAGTCCTTTTAATAGTGGCACAAATTACTTGCAAATTGTTGATGATGATAATGCGGATCAAAATCTTTGTTTGTTTAGTTCTTGCCTCAGATCATGGCTTGAGAATGACACATCCTGCCCTACCTGCCGTCAGTCACTTGCCAGCGACCTGCAGCCTGGGCAGGAGGAGCAGAGCCAATCAAGAGGAATGGCTGCATTTATGATGGGGCGTGGTCTCAGAAGAAACCACTTTTTCCACTTTGATGGTAAGTTTAAAGACAGCGAATCATAATAGTCAAGTTATCAGACTGGGATGGCTTTGATTTAAAGGGTTTGTGGAGAGGAAAGGAACATGTTCTGCAGTACTGTAGAAGTTGAAACATTTGAGGGCAAACTGGTATAGATTGGTGAAAACTTTTTTTTACCATGGGGAGGGGGGACAAACTCACAAAGGTGGTAGGAGGCGAACTTGCAATAAGGTAAAACCTCCATAAACTGATGTAAAGCAATGGTAGATAGCGTGCTTTTTACTAAGTATTAAGGTTACTTAGTCGCATTAGATTCACCTTTAACAAAGATCTGCTTGCAGTAAATGGCTTGAAGCATGTGAAGGTGTGGTCTGATTGTCCGGGTGAGTGTAGTCCTGAGAAGGACTGTTGTCGGCGGTAGTGACTGACGTTTCGACAACCTGTGCGGAAGTCATCATCAGAGTCAAGTGAATGATTGTTGTCTACTGACATACTATAACTATAATTAATGCCCTCGTTTTTAGTTAGATGTACAACTGTTCCTCAGTATGGTCTTCCACGTCAGCTTGTAATGTTCATAAGCTACAATATGTTCAAAATTTTGCCGCCCGAATTATTTGCAATGTAAAGAAGTACGATCATATTTCTTCCACATTAAAGAATCTAGGCTGGCTACCGGTAAAAACAATCCTGTACTATCGTGATGCTACCTTATCATTCAAATGTAAAACAGGCCTAGCGCCTGAATATTTGACATCCGAGCTTGTAACAAGAGGCAGCGTATCTGGGCATAGAAAGAGGAACTTTCAACAACTCAACATTCCCCTTTTTAAACCTTCAACAGGCCAGGACCTTTTATTGTAGAAGTGTAGGCATCTGGAATAAACTTGACTCAAGATTGAAACTATGTGAAAAACCAGCTTCTTTTAAGAGAGCTTTGAAAAGGCATCTCCTGAATGATTTTTTATTTAAATAACCATTCTATTCTTAAAGTTATAAGTAACTTATATTGTATTTAACGTGTTATTAGTTAGTTTTGTATGTATAGTATCAAGTATGTAAATTATGTAACTGTTCACTGAAAAGCCCCAGATGGGGATGTGTTCAATAAAATGTATGAATGTATGAATGAATGTATGAAACATTTGTTTGTCATTTTTTGTTCTTTAGGGTCTCAGATAGCAAGCTGGTTTCCAAGCTTCTCTGTAGAGGTCATGCACACTGGAGTGGAAAACCCAGCTGAAGGTCAACTTCCAGAGAGCCGCATTGAAGCTATGGTAAGATCTCAGTCATTAACATTATCAATAACCAATTTGTTTTTCTGCCTTTCATTTCTTTTCCATTTCGTTATCTTGTATTGTACTGTATTGAGCCAAAGAGCAACAGTCCATCATGCATCATCATCAGAGTCATGCAATGTCGCCATCCAAGTGGTAGTCACTGTTAGGTCACTGTTTCAGGACTAGGGTCATTGGACAATCACACTTTTTTGTCATTTCCTATTTTGTTGTCAGACTTGATATCGCTCCTCAAATGAAAGGTCCTCGTTGATTTTGGTATATGATATACATCATTTCAAAACAAGACACAGATAATGTAGTTTTAATTTACAACTTGATAAAGAATGGTGTGATGTTTATCTCAAGGCACACCAAGTCCAAGCCATGTTTCCGCACATGCCATTCAACATCATAATGGAGGACCTGAGACACACTCATTCCCTTGAAGTCACCACTGATAATATTTTGGAAGGAAACATAGCAGTGCCTTCTGTAAGTGATGTCCTTTAATTAGAATTGAAGTATTGTTAGTGGAAGAATTCAGAGGAAAGGGCCAAATTACAATGTAGCTCCTTATTGATAACAAGTTCATTTCTCTTCAGACTACTTGTTAAAAAAGGAAAATTAAGAGTTTTCATTTGTGATGTTGTGAAGGTGGCTCTGCAGATGTATACCCCATAATAGATTTCTGATAAAACTTTTTCATGAATGAGACATGATGAAGAGATTATTTAAAATAAGAATGGAGAATCATTTTCCTAATTTGCTCGTCTGAGGAAATTACAATCTCCTTCAATGGCTATAAAATTCCAGATTTCATCTGTCTCTTTTGCTTTCAGCTGTATGCACACTTACATGCAAATATGTGTATGAACAAAGAAAAAAGAAGTTATTGAGCAATTAAAGGAGTGGAGGAAAAGAATTAAATCTGAGTTTGTTTTTCCATAAGTAGTTGCTCTGATTGTCATGCTTTGTCTCACAAGTGGTATCCTCATTCTTGGATCTTAACATTGTGGCTTACTTTGTCCTGCTTAGGTCTGGACACCCCCTGAGGAACAATCAGAAGATTCAGAGCTCCTACAGATAGCACACCCAAGTAAGTGTTCAGAAAATACTTTTTGTGACAGGCTGGATGGTATTCCAGGAAAGGTGATGTAAGGATCTTCACCAGGAGGGGTTATGCTTAATAGTTAAGGGTTGTTACCCATGGTTCAAAGACTGAGTAGATTAATTTCTCTGTTGCAGCCTACTTATTGACTGTCCAGTCTTTTTGCCCTCGTAGTTAAGAGAATGAATAGTTAGAAGTTACTTACCATTACCAAGGCTGTTGGTGTAATCTTCTCTGCCAAACAAAGTCTAGAAACAGCCATAGGGTTTTAGTGAATTCGGGTCTGTTTACACGGAGGTGGGGGACCCAAGGTAGGTGAGATAACCTGCTCAGCTGTGGCCAAAAAATAGCCCACGTTGACATACAATCTTCTAACCCTGGGATCCCAGGGTGAAGTTGCTAGAAGTTGTAACGTGAACATGGCTTCAGCTGGGCAGGTTACCCTGTACCCCACCTTGTCATGTTTACTTGGCAAATTGTGACCCTTGCTGACAGGGTTACCCAACCAATCAGACCATGCAACTCACCAGGGCAGGCTGCTTATCATGTAAACATGATCAAGACGAGATAAGAGATTATATGGAATGATAGTTTACTCTAACGAGGCAGGTTACCTCACCTACCCAGGCTTCCTCACCTCCTTGTAAACAGGCCCTAACACTCAACATGGGATGGGATGGGAGATGGTGAACTTCGATGCAGTCTGGTGGGAAAAATAAGTATCCCTTGAAGTGTTTTTTACTGATCATAGATATGCTTATGGAGCCTTACATACTATTTCAGGCACAATGATTTCTTTAAATACACGTGAAGAAACCGAAAGCTCTACAAGTGAGACAGAACAGGACAGCACTTCAACAGAAGCATCTGATGATGTGGAAGCGATGAGAGAACAGGCGCTAGAAGAAGCTGCATCGTTAGAGGAGCGCCCAAAGCGCGATGAGAGTCCACCACCTAATGAAACACCACCAGGAGAGAGATACAGGAGTACATCGCCATCTTTGATGGAGTTCCCCACACAGTCATCTGTCAGACAGTCCCTGTTGTTAAAAAGAAAAGAGATGATGCTTCAACACGCTAGGAGGTGAGTGTGGAACAGTCAGAAATGAAGAATACAAAACTCTACATATGCATTAGGATCTGTGTAGATTTAATAGGTCTAGAAAGGTAAAGGGGTCTTTAAAATATTTGGGGCCAACTTGCAATGACCAGCGTGCTTTGTAAGGGTATAGAATTAGCAATTCTCCAAGTCACTGTGCGCGATAGAAATGAAAGTTAACTTCTGAAGGAAGGATGGGTCGCATGGATCTTAAACTGTCCTAAACTCTTTATTTGCATGTATGCAACAAACTATATTTGGCATTTCTGGAACATTAGAACGGTTTGGTTACACAATATCGATCATACTACGTATTTCAGGCGTTTTCTGGATAGAGAGGTCTCAAATCAGAGTGAATCCAGTCAGTGATGGAAACGAAGTGACAGTCTTTCACACTGGAAGCAGCTGATGCCAACGTTCCAGATGGTGTGGTAGTTGTAGCCCGGAAGAAGAACTCCAGGAAAGCAGTTAAACTATTTAGATCTCTATGAGGAGAACAGGAAATTCTGAACAATTTAATCAACTTTGTGACTCAGCAAAATCCAACTTTTGACTCCAAGACAAATTAAAGATACCCTCCTTTAGAGGAAATTGGCGTAAGATAATTTTCCCACTTTTAGTTTTAAAAGTCAGGCAAGGCGTGGTATTCAAATGACAAAACTAAGTCAGTTCCGTTAAATATCAGGTGCCTTTAACTTGCCCATCCGTCCATTACTGGGTACATTGCGTAAAGGTTAAAAGAGAACCAAGTTACGGCTTCAGATTTATTTTGTGTAGCTCGCATAGTGTGCATTGATGTGCATGTAGTGTAGTCGTATTATTGAACTAATCACGAAATGTTGATTTTACTTCCTGGCCAATACCTTATTTGTTCTTGAATGCGCACTACTAAAGAAATAGATCCACGCATAGGGTTTGATGTTATCCCAAGGAACCTCGAAATGCTTTGAATATGATCGTTGCGTTGTAATCAAGGCTTTGAATATGATAGATGTGCTGTTAAATTTTATATAAAAAATTAGTATTTTTAATGGCTCAAAATACTGCAGCAAAAATTTTAATTGCATAACGCTCCGTTGAAATGTTTTCCCTTACATAACACGGAAAAGCCTTTTGAACAGTTCCTGAGATTTCATGAGGTTAAGATGGTACAAACCCTGCGGTGTACATGGCTCATAATTTTGTAGTTTGATTTGAAAATAAAGCAAGTTAGTAATGCGGTGATGATCTCTGCAATGAATGGTCACAAATAGCTTCATTCACCTCACAAATTGAAACATTCAGTGTTCCTTTATTTTACAATAAACAAAGTTGATAACTGTCCATTTTTTATTCCTTATAATGTTGAAGAGTAGAGGAATTACTCCATCACCTATGTAACTACTGCCCGTCCTAGGCACTAAGTTTGTGGGGACGAGTGAAAAGCGGGTCAAGTGAGGGAAGGCTCAAGGAGAGACTAGAGAGAGATTCGTTCCCAGACCCTGAATGATTTTTGCGTGATTGCTTCTGGGTTTTCCCCAGCCTTTTTTTTTTTTAAGATACTTGAGGGAAAGAATGCCCAGTAGAGCATCAAGCTTCCCAGGGGACATGCGGATTCGAAGCTCCTTGGATGCCTTCTTCTCCCTCTCGAACCGTTGATTTAAATTTTTCTCCGTCTGTTTTGATAAAACAGCGGAAATTGAGCCTATAGCCGACTGTCAAAGAAGTCCAACAGGAGTCTGGAATCGATAGAACAGTTCTGTTGGACGGTCTGTGGACAATATGTACGCTACAAAGCTGTCACGTTACAAACAGCTGTGAATGGATACTTATCGTTACCTTATCCACACAGTGGAGATTTAAGCGTTTCAGCGCTTCGGTTTAGAGTTTCTGTTGTAGGCCGTGAACACTGTGATGTCGGTATTGGAAACCTTAAGCTTCACTTCTGTATCAGCAGGTCAAAGAAAAAGGAAGAGATTATTTTCTTCCTGACTCTAGGGTAAGTATGATGTCCTATGTAATTCATTATCAGTGATAAACAAATGTAGCGAGCGTCCAGCTTCCATCTGCATTGCGTTCATACAATACCACATATAAACTGACAAGAAAAGCACAAACTCAACCCTCTGACATTGACCGGGCATAAATAATGCAGAATTGCTTATTTCAAGCCTCCCGGTTTGCTCAATTGGTTAGAGCACCGGATTGTGTTGTGCGGGAGGTCGAGGGTTCGAGTNGTGGGTGTTGGCCCTGAAAAGCCCCTATGGGAAGTGGTCAATTAACCTATACATACCTGTATAACAACGCATCCAGAAAGGGAACCGGGATATTGGAATTGTGGCATGTCTACAATGTCTCCATTTTTTTGTTTATAGAGTGAACACTTGTTTCAGTAACAAACGTCTACTGCGCAAAAACAAACAGCTCCCGCCATCCATCGCCATAAATCACTTCCTGAGCTTTTTGAGATTGTAACATCGCGGATTTATGCGTGAAAAAGAGACCTGGCCCAAGGCGAAAAGCCGTAGCTTCGAAGTAGAGAACTTGTTTACAGGATTTCTCAGATATCACGGACGGACGAGAAACCAAATGCTAAATAAAGCGACGCTGTATTGATATTCTGGCGAGATATAAACTCGACAAAAAGAAAAAAGTGGCATTCTAGATGCTACGGTGGCCCATAGGGGACATGACACATTTTTTTAATCGAGCGATAAATGGAAATTATCGCGCGATAAATGAAAAATTATCGCGCGATAAATGAAGATTATCGCGCGATAAATGGAGATTATCGCGCGATAAATGGAAATTATCGCGCGATAAATGGAAATTATCGCGCGATAAATAAAAATTATCGCGCGATAATAAAAATTTATCACGTGATAAATAGAAACTTGTCAGGTCACGTAATCGGCTGTCATGCATGTTGTTTCCGTGGACGACAATGACTGCCACAGTTGAGGAGCTATGTTCTGAGGTCAATAGTTCATTTTATTCATGTAAAAAGATCATTTAGCAGTACGTTGCAATACTACGACACATGGCTCTTTGAATCAGTATAGTAATCCATGATTGTGCGAAGTCCGAGCCCGTGGAAATTTTGTATTATTTATTTATATTTTGTGATAACTTTTTGATGATTGCACGAGTTACACTGTTGTGTTACACTAAAACCTTGAAATAAACTTTCATCAGTTTGCTCATCTTTCAGTCTATACTATATGCCCTCTAAATTTCATTGTCATTGCTCAAATATTCTGAAAGTTACGTAAGTGAAGGGGGTGGAATTCGCTTCCCTCCCCGGTCTGAATAGATTAAAAAAAAAGCTCGGGCCGAATAGGGTCAAATTACTTCGTGCACACGAGTAGTTACACAATGCTCATAGGCTTTTATAGTATCCTAGATCCTCTATTTCGCACAGAAATGTAAGCACAGTAACTTTGACACATATGTCACCAGAACTGTCGGTCCTCTTTGCCAGAAAGGCCTTGTACACAAAGAGAGGGTGTCATTAGGGACACATGAGGCCAGGTTTTCAGGTGTAATTTATTCCCCTTCGAAGAAAACATCATACAAGAACTGAACTAACTGTTGTCGATGAGATAAACCAGATCCACGAAAAGGTTACGGACTTCTAGAGCAGTTGAAAGCACTTGCAAATGTTGCTCTTACATAATTATATCAATCAATTCTCTGCATTCCTCCAAACAATTTGTGGGGCTTGTTCAGTCGCAGCATTCACCATCAATCACATCAGTGTCATCTAGGTCAACTTCTGTCCGGTAATCCGTTGCATTTGTCCATGCAGGAACAGTATTGGTTATCGCCAAATGCACCAGCGATTAAGAATTGACTACAGTCTTGTTGTCCAGAAGGAGACCGTACGAGTCATAATTAAAGAATTGGATCCCGCTGGCATACAGTCACGATCATAGTGTGTTTTTTGTTTGGAAGAATGCAGAGAATTGATTGATATAATATTTGATAGAATATTTGAGCAATGACAATGAGATTTAGAGCGCATATAGTATAGACTGAAAGATGAGCAAACTGATGAAAGTTTATTTCAAGGTTTTAGTGTAACACAACAGTGTAACTC